CACACAGACACACACACACTCACACACTCTCACACACACACACACACACACACACACACTCACAGAAGCTCTCTGAACAGATTCAGCTTGTTAATGGCATATATAGTTCAGATTCTGCAGTACAAGAGGTTTTGGGGAATGTTAGCTTAAAAGCATGAATACATGTCTCTGCATACATTATGAATACATTCATCAGTGTGCATGTTATTCTGAAGAAAAACAAATGTTTGTTTTCATAATTGTTCATCAAAATGATTAATTTTCTCCACCTCTGAAATTATTTTTCCACTGACACAACAAAGTCCATGTGGCTGAGAAAAATTATTATAAAGCAAAAATTTCGTAGCTTCCTTTTGACCGACCAATCAGTGTTGGATAAAATTAAGCCCCACCCATTATTTCCATCTGAATTTTCTCTCTTTATTGAAAATACTTTTCTGAAATTACTTAACTTTTTTATACATTTCTGTTGCTGAGATAGTTCACCTAAAAAAATAAATAAATTGTCTACACAATGAAAGTCAATGGGGTCCAATGATGTTTGGTTTTCAAAATATGTTCTTTTGTGTTCTTCAGACTGAAAAAGTCAATGATATGAGTAAATGATGACAGATTGATCATTTTTGGCTTGCTTATCCCTAACCTGATGTGCTTTTCAGGTTACTAGCTAGTTTAAGTAACTTTAACTAGTCTTTCTCAGCATGTTTTCCCTCAAACTGTTTCTCCTCCATGACAGTAGTTGATCTGTTTTGCCATTCAAGTTCACCATTAGGGTCTACAGACTCATAAAACACAAGTTCCCATCTCACTGTGTACAGCTGGCAGCTTCATATATAAAACCCGCTATTAGTCAGACAGCAGCAGGACTGCTAACAGAGGAAGAGCTTGACTGTTAGAGCATGAACTCCGAATAACCTCCGACAGAGAAACACACACACACGTATGAGGAATGGACGACTGATCGCATGTGTGTGTGTGTGTGTGTGTGTGTGTGTGTGTGCTGATGCTGATGCAGTTGGATCTGTTTATACATCCATCAGTGAATGTTGAGTGTGTTTGTGTAGTTAGACGTGTGTTTGCACATCAGTTGTGCATGATTTACTCTCAGGAAACTGTGCCGTTTGTGTTCCCTATGCATGGATGGATAGAACAATACTGTAGATAGATGAATGGATAGATGGAACGATGGATGAGGGACAGATGGATGGATTGATGATAGAATGATGGAGGGATGGAGGGATGGATGGATGGATGGAGGGAGGGATGGACGATAGAATGATGGAGGGATGGATGATAGAACGATGGAGGGATGGACGATAGAATGATGGATGGATGGATGATGGAATGATGGAGGGATGGACGATAGAATGATGGATGGATGGATGGATGGACAATAGAATGATGGAGGGATGGATGATAGAACGATGGAGGGATGGACGATAGAATGATGGAGGGATGGATGATAGAACGATGGAGGGATGGACGATAGAATGATGGATGGATGGATGGACAATAGAATGATGGAGGGATGGATGATAGAACGATGGAGGGATGGACGATAGAATGATGGATGGATGAATGATGGAATGATGGATGATGATAGTATGAGAGATGATGGATGGATGATTGATGGATAGAACAATGGATGGAAAGAATGTTGGATGGATGGACGGACAGATAGACAGAATTATTTTCATGACAATAAACCTATTTACCACATAATTATGGTTTCCTGTTAAATATACACATGCATTACAGTAATGAGCTTGAGTTTACACTAATGAGAATTCTGGGCCAACTGTGCTTAATTGTCATAAAAATAACAATAATATTAACACTGGTGTATGTTTCTCCTGATCTGGATAAAAAGATGTCCTGTAAGATCAGTAGTGATCTGCTGAACTATGACTATGACACTGTTTATCCCGGGAATGAAGCAGATTTGATGTGTGATCTGTAATGTGGCTCACTGTGATGTTTCTGCCTGTGATCCGTCTTCCTCTATTAACACACCACACCACACCACACCACATACACACCGAAGCCAATGAGTGTGTGTGTGTGTGTGTGTGTGTGTGTGTGTGGTCTCAGCTTTAGGCATTTCTGCTGAATCAGTCACTCTACACACACACACAGGTTTGTTTTTATGGTTTATGGGGACTCTCCATAGGCGTAATGGTTTTTATACTGTACAAACCGTATTTTCTATTGCCCTACACCAACCCTACCCCTAAACCTACCCCTCACAGGAAACTTTCTGCATTTTTAGATTTTCAAAAAAACTCATTCTGAATTATTTATAAGCCTTTTGAATTACGGGGACACTGAAAATGTCCTCATAAATCACCTTCTCGTTGTAATATATGTCATACCCATGTTATTATACAAATTTGTGTCCTCATAAACCACATAAACATGCACACTCAAACACACACACACACACACACACGTTTAATTTCTGGACAGACACTGAACTGTGTAATCGAGCTTACAGACAGCTTTTAAAACGTAAACACTTTTACAAATGAACAACTTTAAAGAAATCTTGTGATGTTTAGAAAAGATCAAATACATGGATTTAGGGTTCATTGTACTGTATTTATAACAAATGACATTAAATGTGCAACAGAAACAATAATAATTTCAGTTGTATATTTTTAATGTAATTTATCTTAATTGTTAATCAGTGTCTATCAGTGATACTATCTTATTAGCTGATCCTTATTATACGCTTTTCAGTTTTAATCATTAATCAAATTAATTTGAATGATTAATTACATTAATTTTTAATTACACACACACACACACACACACACACACACACTCCATCAGTGCTGTTAAACACACACACACACACACACTCCATCAGTGCTGTTACTCTCACACACACACACACACACACACATAGGATCAAAACTTCATACCTTTTAGACTGTGAAACTTTTATAGGAGTTTTATGCATTTGTCTTATGCTCTGAGATGAACTGCTGTATCTAACTGAATAATTAACATTCATTCATTTAGTTGATGCCTTACGCAACTTACAAATGAAGAACATCACAAGCAATTTCTCATAAGAGCCAATTATATTCAACTCCAGGTTTAGTAAAAAACTACACTATTGTTCAAAGGTTTGGGGGCAAGTGATTTTGAGAAAAGTGCTTTGTGCTCACCAAGGCTGCTTTTATTTGATCAAAAAATAGTGAAATATTATTAGAATTTAAAATAAGTGTTTTCTATGTGAATATCTGTTCAAATGTAATTTATTCCTGTGATGCAAAGCTGAATTTTCAGCATCATTACTGCAGTCTTCAGTGTCACATGATCCTTCAGGAATCATTCTAATATGAAACATTTCTGATTATTATCAATGCTGAAAACATTTAAGCTTTAAAACATTTTTTTATAAATGAAAGCAGAAAATACAAAAATAAAACTAATTCAAAATATTAATAACAACTGCAGACTGTACAGTATAATAGCATCTCAATGATATCAGATCTCTCTGCAGCTGTATCAGCTCTTCTAGTTGAGCTCTAATAGGTGACTTTAATGCATCACAGAGAATCTGCTCTTGAAGTCTATTGAGTGGCTCACAGGACAGAAATCTGAGCGTCTGCTGTGATCTGATCCTACAGAGCGTCAGAATCACGCGCGGGATCTGGCGAGGAGCGCTGACCTGACGCAGTGGGACGCTCTGGTCATTCTGTCTGGAGACGGGCTGCTGTTTGAGGTGTGTGCAGATCGCTTGTGTTCGTCTCTCTCTCTGTGTGTGTGCATTCAGCTCATGTAGGTGTGTGTGTGTGTGTGTTTTAGGTGGTGAACGGTCTAATGGATAGGCCGGATTGGGAAAAGGCCATCCAGACTCCTCTGGGAATCCTGCCCGGAGGTTCAGGAAATGCACTGGCTGCTTCCGTCCATCACTACACACGGTGAGCCAATCAGAGAGAACTCATTAGATCATGCAGGACAAGCACACACACACACACACACACACACACACACACTCCATCAGTGCTGTTAAACACACACACACACACACACTCCATCAGTGCTGTTACTCTCACACACACACACACACACACACATAGGATCAAAACTTCATACCTTTTAGACTGTGAAACTTTTATAGGAGTTTTATGCATTTGTCTTATGCTCTGAGATGAACTGCTGTATCTAACTGAATAATTAACATTCATTCATTTAGTTGATGCCTTACGCAACTTACAAATGAAGAACATCACAAGCAATTTCTCATAAGAGCCAATTATATTCAACTCCAGGTTTAGTAAAAAACTACACTATTGTTCAAAGGTTTGGGGGCAAGTGATTTTGAGAAAAGTGCTTTGTGCTCACCAAGGCTGCTTTTATTTGATCAAAAAATAGTGAAATATTATTAGAATTTAAAATAAGTGTTTTCTATGTGAATATCTGTTCAAATGTAATTTATTCCTGTGATGCAAAGCTGAATTTTCAGCATCATTACTGCAGTCTTCAGTGTCACATGATCCTTCAGAAATCGTTCTAATATGAAACATTTCTGATTATTATCAATGCTGAAAACATTTAAGCTTTAAAACAATTTTTTAAAAATGAAAGCAGAAAATACAAAAATAAAACTAATTCAAAATATTAATAACAACTGCAGACTGTACAGTATAATAGCATCTCAATGATATCAGATCTCTCTGCAGCTGTATCAGCTCTTCTAGTTGAGCTCTAATAGGTGACTTTAATGCATCACAGAGAATCTGCTCTTGAAGTCTATTGAGTGGCTCACAGGACAGAAATCTGAGCGTCTGCTGTGATCTGATCCTACAGAGCGTCAGAATCACGCGCGGGATCTGGTGAGGAGCGCTGACCTGACGCAGTGGGACGCTCTGGTCATTCTGTCTGGAGACGGGCTGCTGTTTGAGGTGTGTGCAGATCGCTTGTGTTCGTCTCTCTCTCTGTGTGTGTGCATTCAGCTCATGTAGGTGTGTGTGTGTGTGTGTTTTAGGTGGTGAACGGTCTAATGGATAGGCCGGATTGGGAAAAGGCCATCCAGACTCCTCTGGGAATCCTGCCCGGAGGTTCAGGAAATGCACTGGCTGCTTCCGTCCATCACTACACACGGTGAGCCAATCAGAGAGAACTCATTAGATCATGCAGGACAAGCACCGCCCACCACACTGTCTGATTGACATGTAAAGGGACCAACCGGATTCAGCTTCTTTACATGATGTTTAGAGACAAGTAAATATGAAAGCCGATATTAAAATTCTGGCTAATGGCAATACATTACAGCCAATAATGAAATGATATGCTATAGAAATTAAAAATAAAATGCTAAAAACTAAACTTTAATTTCATTTCATTACTTTAAATGAACTATCTAATTTCATTTCAAATGTAATTTATTTAAATTGTATGAATCCAATATTAAATCTCAATGCTAATAAGTTATGGTGAATAATTAAATTCTGTTATTTTGTATGTACACTAAAAACGAAACTTTAATTTAATTTAATTAATTTAAATGAATTATCCGATTCATTTAAAATTTTATTTAATAATTTATTATGTCTTATTAAAATTCGGGCAATGCCAATACGTTATGGCAAATAATACAATTCTATTCTGTTTTATATATAAATTTAAAAACAAAACACAAAAACTAAACTTTAATTTAAATATTTAATGATTTAAATAATCTAATTTAAAATGTAATTTATTTAAATTGTATGAATCCAATATTAAATCTCAAGTTATGGTAGTTATGGTGAATAATTAAATTCTGTTATTTTGTATGTACACTAAAAACGAAACTTTAATTTAATTTAATTAATTTAAATGAATTATCCGATTCATTTAAAATTTTATTTAATAATTTATTATAAGTCTTATTAAAATTCGGGCAATGCCAATACGTTATGGCAAATAATACAATTCTATTCTGTTTTATATATAAATTTAAAAACAGAACACAAAAACTAAACTTTAATTTAAATATTTAATGATTTAAATAAAAGATCTAATTTATATAAAATTGTATGTAATTTTAGTAATTTAATTGAAATTTTATGAAATTCAGTATAAAAATTTGGACCAAAGCCAATACGTTACGACCATTAATAAAATTCTGTTCTGTATGTAAACTCAAAATAAAACATTAAAAACTAAACATTCATTTAAATCGTTTTAATTAATTATCTAATTCATTAAAAAATACTGTAATAATTTAATTTATTCATTTAAATTTTATATAATTTTATTTGTATTTTATTTTATTTTAAATTAATTTTCTAAATTTAGAATTCATTTTGAATTTAGGGACCACAACATTAATGCACAGTATGACATATTTGTATTCATTTTGAAATTTTCTAAAAATTACATTTAACAGACTTACGAATTTACTAGTGTTTTAAAGATTAAATCATTTTCCCTCATTAAATGTCAAAATGAGGGAAATATTCATATCCATTAAACAGGGCCTATCCAAGGCCAACATTTAATAGTAACAAAAAATCTCGGTAATATCAGCCAGCAGCCAGTATGTTTCTGCTATATTGTGCATATCTATTGGATATCTCATTCATTTAAAATTTAATGTCTTAAACAGAACTTGTTAATATATAATTTGATGACATAAAAATGGCAACGCTTCCTCAGGAGAGTTTCCCAGATATAAACTGTATAAACTCTTTGAAATACAGTAAAGCCAGCCTGACTGAATCTGACTGAAGCACGCTCTGAATCTCTGATCTAGAGTCAGTGTTCATGCAGCTTTAGACCTCATTTGAATTAGTGATCTCCATTAAACCCAACCTGTGCTGTGCTTCGTTCAAACCAGATCTTCAATTTAAAGTTTGCGATGCAAGCAGTCATTATTCCAGTCTTTAGCGTCTGTTTGTGAGAGTTGAATCTCTGTGGGATTTCTTTGAACTAAAGAATAAAAGCTCAGTTCTGCTGAGAGAGAAAACTGAATGAAAGCATTAATGAATCGCCAGTGACTTACATCCGATCAGAGAGCAGGTGATAATGGGTCAAAAAAATGTGAACTTGAACAAAAAAAATTTAAATGTTGCCTTGACAACTAAAGGAAATAGGTCAAATAAGTTAAAGATGAAGTCTTACAATTACTCAAACTAAAGTTAAATAAAAAATCAATTAAAGCTGAATAAAAATATATATAAAAAAAAAACCTAATGAAAATCACAGAAGCACATAACGAAATTACTCAAACTAAAATGTTAAAAATACATTTAAATTAAATATAAATTAAATAAAAATAGATTTAAAAGAAAAGCTAATTCAAAAGATTATTAAATAGTAATTAATATTTTAATCTAATAAATAAATATTATATTATAAGGATATTATAAGGTTCATTTTGCCGTTTGTAAAATTATGCTGCATTATATAAACTTCATTTCGTTGATTATAGTTTTGCTAATGTAATTTGCTCATTAATTTATGATATGTTGTTTTTGTTAACTAAAAATATTACAAATGTTTTGGTGATTCAAGTAAAGCCGCAATAAAATAAAATATTAGATGAAAAACCTGAATTTACAAAAACTTGATGTTGAAATGTTGTCTTGGCAAATAACCGAAATAAAAAATTTAGCGCTAAAATTACTAAAATAAATATACATTTCTTTAGAAGATTAGAAATTGGTTAAAAAATAAGTTGAAGTATTAAATAAAAATATATAAAAAATAAAACTGAATAGAAATTTTCGGAGGGGGGAAAACTAATAAAAATGACAAAAACTTAAGCTAAACTGAAAACAAAAACAGCAAATTCAAAATATTAAGAAATACTGTAAAAGAAAATAAATCTGTTGTAGCGGGTGTTTAGGTATACAACTAATATTATCAGGTTCATTTTGTTTTATTTTTCGGTCATTTGTATCCAGTAAGCACTGACTGATTGATCTGTCATGTTGTGAGCGTGTATTTGTGTTTGCTTGTTCTCTGCAGAGCGTCTCCGGTGTGGGGTGAAGATCTGCTGACCAGCTGTGGCTTTTTGCTCTGTAAGGGTCTGATCTCTAAACTGGACCTGATCTCCATCCGTCTGTCGTCCGGCGCTCGTCTCTTCTCCTTCCTGTCTCTGGCCTGGGGCTTTGTGGCCGACGTGGACATCGAGAGCGAGCAGTTCCGCCAGATCGGAGCGCTGCGCTTTCTCCTCAGCACGCTGCTGCGTCTGGCCTACTTACGGATCTATCAGGGGAAACTAGCGTTCCTGCCTGCCGAAAGCCAGCGAGAATCGGCCTCTGCTGGCTTTTCTACCGCAGACAGCCGGCTGCCCGACCACCTGCTGGTCCCGCTGGAGCAGCCCGTCCCGCAGGACTGGACGCTGGTGGAGGAGCAGGAGTTCGTCCTGGTGCTCGCCATGTTTCAGTCGCACCTGGGCGAGGATCTGCTGGCGGCTCCGGACGCTCGCGCCGACGACGGACTCATTCATCTGTTCTACGTGACGGCGGGAATCTCGCGCACCATGCTGCTGCGGCTCTTCTGGGCCATGCAGAGCGGGACGCACCTGGACTGGGGCTGCACGCATCTGGTGTACCGTCGCGTGCGAGCGCTGAGGCTGGAGCCGCTGAGCGAGGCCGGCGTGATGACGGTGGACGGGGAGCGCGTGGAGTACGGGCCCCTTCAGGCACAGGTGCACAGAGGAGCGGCCCGCCTCATCTCCGCATGAACCGCAAACAGCTGTTTAAAATGGGAGGTCCTTTACCTGAACCGCACAATCCTGACTGGCTGCTGTTAAACTTGAATTTAATGTTCGTTTGTTTGTTTTATTAAAGAATTGTAATTGAGTAAATCTCATAAAAAACATGTCTAGGTCATGCTTTGCCCCAAAAACAGAAGTAAAAATAATAGGAAATTATGTTTTGCATTAAGAAAATAGATTGTTTTTGCATTGCAACACTATTTTCATGACAGTTAAACGTATCAAATCCCACATTTTTATTTAAAACATGTAAAAAATAAGCTGTTTTCCTTCTGCAAAAATTTTTGCAAATCATTGTCATTTTCTGACCACAAATAATTTTTACTGCAAAGTAATTAAATCTACAAATCTACAAATAAATGTCACTTTCTTTATGCAAAACATGATTTCTAATTTATTTTGTGTGGTTTTGGGGGTGAAACATGAGCTGAACAGGTTGAGATTCATCATCTCTGATGCTTGTGCGTCTGAAAACATGCAAACAACAAAAGTTGCATTTTACCCCAAAAACAAAGGGAGGAAAAAATAAGAAATTATATTTTGCGTTGAGGAAATGGGCTTTTACATTGTGACAATTTTCCTGACAATTTTTTTAAATTCAGAAATAGCACAATGAAAAACATCAATATCTAATCCACAAAATAAGCTTAATTTCCTTTATGCAAAAGCAAATAATTACTTATTCTTTTCTTTGACTGGGATGAAATGTCTCTTTTCACCCTTAAAATTAATACAAATAAATTAGAAATGACATTTTGCATAAAACCTGACTGTTTTTACATTGACTGTTAAAACTGACTGTTTTTACTTTATGCAAAACATAATTTCTTATTTATTTTCTGTGACTTTTGGAGTGAAATATGGAGTGAAATATTCATTAATCTGGGATGCTTGTGCATCTGAAAACATGGCCATGCCATCTCACCCCAAAAATCAAAAGAAATAATTGTAGCATGATTTTCATGACAATGAAACATTCCCAATGCAAAGCTTCTTCACTTAATATAAAATGAGCGTTGTTTTCTTTATGCAAAACACAACTTCTTTTGGAATGAAATGTGAGCTAAAAAGATTCATCACCTCTGATGCTCATGTGTCTGAAAACATGTCCACATCAAATTTCACCCAAAAATCAGAATATATATATATATATATATATATTTATTATGAAAATGAAGACCATTATGATTTTTTTTTTTTACATTGTGACATTATTTTCTGACCATTTAACCCTAAATTCTCATTTTGTAAGAAGTAATTAACGTATGTAGATTTAAATGTGAAATTGATTTTGCGAGTATATTTTGTGATTTGGGGGTGAGGTTTGATGCGCAGACATCTGTGTTATGCTGGAGTTTATGCTGCTGCGATCCACCAATCTTGATTTTCAGAAGTGCCAATGTTGAAAATATATGACATAGTTGTTCATCTTTATTTTTCTATGATAGAAATCAAAATGTGTTCTGTTTATTATTATTTAAGAGCAGTTTGACTCAGAAGATGTTTGTGTTTATGATAAAGCCTCACCAGCCGCCTGCACCAGTATCATCTCAATGTCATCTCCATCAGAGTCTGAAGTGTTTGCGATGCCTGCCATAGATGAGCCATTATTTAAAATATAAATAATACATACAAAAATATCAATATTTTCCTGCTAGCCATGAAACTGTTCTGCTGTTCTCTAGAAAAGTGCACCGAACATGCTGCCTTCAGATCCTCCTGGGAAATAACAGTTTTTCATCAACGACATGCAAAATAACTGCTAAATACATTTGTATTGTTGATATTGTAACACATTAGCCAGTCGCTCAATGTCCTGTCAATGGAAACCTTTTTGTTTTTCATGAATAAGAAACCAACAATTACAGAAAAAATACTTTTTCTTAGTTAAACGTCTAATGGTAAATTTTCAATTAAAAGACAAGATCTGATTCGCTTCTGTAAGTTCAAGGGTCAGACTATCATTCTTTAATTTCAATTTGAACGTGATTAATAACAAAACAACAAGAAAATGTGCAGATGTTCATAAAGTGCTAAAGTTATGCATTGCTTATTGACAGTTCGCTTATATAAGCGTCACCTTTAAGTTCATTTTCATAGTTTGACCATCTTTTAAAATCAAACTAATCTGTACATTTTCCAAACAAGATGGAACGTTTAGAGACTAAAACAATCACAGAATTCATCAAATCATTTGATAACACTTACTGATGTCTGTGCAGCCGTTTCTCCTCCAAGATGATGTCACTTCCTGGGTGATGTCATTAGTGAAAGGTTAACGGTTAAAACATGTTAAATGAACATCCACCCATAACCAAAGCTGTTTGCTTCATTGTGACCTAAAATGATGTCTATGTTTTTTAAATTACGAGTTTAATATCATTTTCGTCTGGCACTGAGGCTCTGGATTTCAAAACAACCAATATTCAGGTTCAAGTATTTGCATTAATGATTGTTACAGCCTTCTATGGACCAGCCAGATGCAGACCAATAGACAGATTCAGGCTAACCATGACTGAAAGGTTTAAAGCCATATAGATGTTCAACATGTGTTAAACAGCCGTAGGACATGTCGTTTTGATTTGTGTATGGATGACGCTCTTTGGAAGACAATGAATGAATGAGTTTGAAAAGTGGACCAAGTTTACATCAGATACTTATTGTATCCGAGTTGAAATTATGTAAACACTCCATATCGTTTTTGATGGTGAAGTATTTTTAATTGTTTGTGCAAGGGACATTTTGAGACATTTGAGTTTTGCACAATACTGTACATGACCAGAGGGGATTCTGTGGTGATCAGGAACAATCTGAATAAAATTACTTTGATTTGTTTGCAAATTAAAAATGTGCATATGCTTGCAACTGTACTGTGATATTTAATAGCATTATCTCTCTCTCTCTCTCTCTATATATATATATATATAAATATGTTCTATATTTTTCCAGTCATACATTTGTATGAAAAATAAATAAACAAATTTCAGATGGTAAACACATGTGTATATGTGTTGTTTTTATGTGTAAGATCACATATGTGAATCAGTAAAATACTGTAATTTATAACTAATATTATTACTATTAGAGTGGAATGAAAATGTATGCTTCTTAGCATTTTCTTGGTTAAAATTATTTAATGTTTAGGCCTTTATTATTAGGAAAACCTTTTTATTATGGAGCAAAACTCTGATAAATTCTAGAAACCCTGTATAGAGGAGATTCCCAAACTTTTTTGTCACCCGTACCCCTCTGAGCTAAAATATTTACTTGAAGTTAATAATTTAACGGCATATTTGCATGTTCACAGTTCTCTGATCTTAGTGAGTCACATGATATGCAAGTAAACATTTAACTATATCAACTTTTTTGCAAGGGTTGTATTGTGATTTTAATATTATTATTTTTTTTAATTTTAGATTTTTATGATTAATTGATTTTCATTAACTCACAAATCTCCTGCAGTTCCCTTTCAAACCTCCAGGGGTTCACGAACCCCAGTTTGGGAAACCCTGCTGTTGAGCGTTTTCATTCAGAGATTGAATTTACTGTAGATATTCACTTTTCCTAGCTGGAAAAATAATGCATACAAAGTCACTTTAGGTATATATAGTTTGACCATCTTTTAAAATCAAACTAATCTGTACATTTTCCAAACAAGATGGAACGTTTAGAGACTAAAACAATCACAGAATTCATCAAATCATTTGATAACACTTACTGATGTCTGTGCAGCCGTTTCTCCTCCAAGATGATGTCACTTCCTGGGTGATGTCATTAGTGAAAGGTTAACGGTTAAAACATGTTAAATGAACATCCACCCATAACCAAAGCTGTTTGCTTCATTGTGACCTAAAATGATGTCTATGTTTTTTAAATTACGAGTTTAATATCATTTTCGTCTGGCACTGAGGCTCTGGATTTCAAAACAACCAATATTCAGGTTCAAGTATTTGCATTAATGATTGTTACAGCCTTCTATGGACCAGCCAGATGCAGACCAATAGACAGATTCAGGCTAACCATGACTGAAAGGTTTAAAGCCATATAGATGTTCAACATGTGTTAAACAGCCGTAGGACATGTCGTTTTGATTTGTGTATGGATGACGCTCTTTGGAAGACAATGAATGAATGAGTTTGAAAAGTGGACCAAGTTTACATCAGATACTTATTGTATCCGAGTTGAAATTATGTAAACACTCCATATCGTTTTTGATGGTGAAGTATTTTTAATTGTTTGTGCAAGGGACATTTTGAGACATTTGAGTTTTGCACAATACTGTACATGACCAGAGGGGATTCTGTGGTGATCAGGAACAATCTGAATAAAATTACTTTGATTTGTTTGCAAATTAAAAATGTGCATATGCTTGCAACTGTACTGTGATATTTAATAGCATTATCTCTCTCTCTCTCTCTCTATATATATATATATATATAAATATGTTCTATATTTTTCCAGTCATACATTTGTATGAAAAATAAATAAACAAATTTCAGATGGTAAACACATGTGTATATGTGTTGTTTTTATGTGTAAGATCACATATGTGAATCAGTAAAAATACTGTAATTTATAACTAATATTATTACTATTAGAGTGGAATGAAAATGTATGCTTCTTAGCATTTTCTTGGTTAAAATTATTTAATGTTTAGGCCTTTATTATTAGGAAAACCTTTTTATTATGGAGCAAAACTCTGATAAATTCTAGAAACCCTGTATAGAGGAGATTCCCAAACTTTTTTGTCACCCGTACCCCTCTGAGCTAAAATATTTACTTGAAGTTAATAATTTAACGGCATATTTGCATGTTCACAGTTCTCTGATCTTAGTGAGTCACATGATATGCAAGTATCTATATCAAAATATCTAATATAAAGCAAGGGTTGTATTGTGATTTTAATATTATTATTTTTTTTAATTTTAGATTTTTATGATTAATTGATTTTCATTAACTCACAAATCTCCTGCAGTTCCCTTTCAAACCTCCAGGGGTTCACGAACCCCAGTTTGGGAAACCCTGCTGTTGAGCGTTTTCATTCAGAGATTGAATTTACTGTAGATATTCACTTTTCCTAGCTGGAAAAATAATGCATACAAAGTCACTTTAGGTATATATGAAATAGGACTTTTTTATTATATATGAAGTTCAA